ACCCGCCCCGTATCTGGCATTTGTTATTTGAACAACTATTTTTAGACGGAAAATCTGTCGAATGTCATTTATGTCCCTTCAAATGTGGTCGACCACCCAATATTATCATCCCCTTTTTATTCCACAACCATCTCCCCACTAAATTTTCTTACTAAACACCTTCTAGGAGCCCTAGAATAGTATCACATAGGAACTCACCCTCGTTCATCAACACATGTCTGTCCAATGCTCTCTCAATGCAGACTCATGTGTGCTTGACGATGGTGATGTGTATTGAAAATGTTGGGCTATGAGATGTGTTTTCTTACCTTTAAGTTATTTTTATGCTTTTTGAGGGTGTATTTGTTGTTATACACATAATATAGGTTGGAAGTCAACTTGAGGAGCAAAGAGTAAAAAAATTTGGCTAAGTACAAGTTTAACGTCCCTGCGCCCATGTTTGGGAGCCCTAGTGCCCAATGATGATTGCAGGTGTGCAAAAGACAGAGAAGAAGGAAAGTCAGTGTCAGATGCTCACCGTCTAGGCAGTAGGACCTAGCACCCCTGCACCAGCTAGTCCGACACCCAAGCACTCCAACTGATCCCATTTCACCATAATTCCAGAGAGCTTGACACACTCGAGCCAATCAAGCTAACCCCCCCAGAACCAGGTGCCTTGGATGGAGAATCATAGCACGAAAGTACGTGCTAGGACCTAGCACCCCCGTTCACACAGCTAGCATCCCCACGCTACCCCATCATCGCCTAGGAGCCCAACACTGAGTAAGTGTAGTTTGGGCAGTTTTTGATGGTTTAGACAAGGAGAAAGTAGAAGTAAACTTTCTCATGGGAGGAGAGCGGTCATTATTCCACTCTTCCTGCACCCTTAGTTTATTTTTTTAAGTGAATTTAGTGTGAGATTGTGTTTTAGTGTTGTAAGTGTGCGTAAGAGAACCAAGCAGAGAGCATTGTATAAGGTAGAATTTCAGTGGAGCAAGTTAATTTATCTTTCGGGTTTGATTACAACAACAACAACAACAACAACAACAAAGCTTTAATCCCACTACGTGGGTTCGGATACATGAATCCTTTTTCTCCATTGCGTCCTATTTAGTGTCATATTTTTATTTATTTCTAATAAATTAAGATCATTTTTTATACAATAAGCCCCCCCTTTTTTTAAACGCCGACAGTCGTTCTTAACACAAGTCGAATCTAAAATATCTACTCTCCTAGTCAAAACATAAAGAAAATAAAATAAAAATAGAAAATAAAAAACGATCCCAAACAAACTCTTAGTTTTCATTACAGTCCTTCAAACAGCCAACTAAAAATGTTTTGGCAAGCTTAACACTATTTAGTCAGCAAGTTTAATATGGAATTATAAGCCAATGCATGTATATAAGAAGGACCACGCAATCAAAGCTAAAATTAAAGCAGGGTACATTTTACAGATCACTTTCAGTCATTTTAGCAAAAAGCATTGACACATTGTTAAAATTAAATTTTCCAGGGTGTCTCAACATGAATTCTAGCCTCCATATTGAAGAAACAAAAGAACAACACATAGTATTGTAATTAGAATGCATGCAACATAATTTTCAACTTGATTGATCGTTTTTATTAGCTGTCTTGTTTTTTCTTTTGCTAGGTTAATCCAGAATATGGAACTTAAGGGACAATAAAAAATATAGAAAGATTTACAAACATACCACTCCATTGCTATGTGTTTACATATATAACACCTAAACTTCAATTTTTACATACATGCCACCTTGCCTATACAGTAAAAGGTATATTTCACTTTTTAAAGTTAAAATGGTGATTTTTTTATGTGATATGAAAGAATGGGGTGGTATAAATGTAAAAAAGTAAAATTTAGATGTTCTAAATGTAGATACATAGAAATTGGGTGGTAGGTATGTAAATGCCCCAATATAAAAGTTAAATATGCTAAGTGTAAATTCAGTAATAGAGATCAACATGATAGGGCTGACACTGCAGGAAAAATGAATGAAACAGATGATTTCACGTTTTGTTTCTAAGCTTTGCACAACTAAAGCAATGAGGTAAATGAATTTTCAAAGAAAAGTATAATAAATAGGCATTACCTTTGTGGTAGGATCCTTTCTGCCAAGTCTCTTCAAGTGCTGTGCCACTTCATTATCCACATTCTTCATTGAACAAATTGATGTTAAAGAGGAGACAAGCAAAAGTTTTATATTGCTTTCACATAACTACAACTTAATAAATAACTCGACTCAAAGTAAAAAATGAAAAAAAAAAGATCAATTTTCATAAATTAAGCAACTAAAAAAACCAAGCAAAAAGAATGGAAAACAGAAGAATTAAATTTGATCAATATTTGTGTATGATATTTGTGTATGTTCGATGTCTATCTAGTGCACACACAAGCATGCACAACTACTCATAATTTTAAAAAGTGTCAAAATAGTCCTCTAACTATTTTAATGAAGTCATTTTAGTCTTCAAGTTTATAAAAGTGTCAATTTAGTCCTCAAGACACTTTTAGTCTAGGTTAAAGTGGTCCCCACAGAGGACTACTTCAACCCCAATTTAGATAATACGAGGACCAATTTGGTACAATTATCTGGGATTAAAATGATCCCATGTAAAAAGTCAAGGGATTATTTTGGAACTTTACTCGAATTTTACAATACCAATATGTATATATATTGATTCAATATGTCATCAAAATGATGAAGATCTAGATAGACACAATTTGTGTTGCATTTGAATCTTAGATCTATTAGAAATTAGCAATTTTTTTATATTTATCTAGCACTTTCATGAAGATTGTCTAATAATAGCCTTGGGGTAGTTTGGACTTATAAATTTATTAAATTTTAGTGAATTTTTAAATCTATCACATAATTTCATGAAGACTACCTGATAATTAACCTTGAGCCAGTTATCAAGTTATTTCTATAAATAAACACTAATTGTTTATAAATGCAATGAAATTAGGAGTGTAAAGCAACCCTCAACATGAGCTAGAACTTGATTATTAATCTAATTTGAGAGCTTAATTTTACAAGTTTGAGCTAGCTCACAAGCCGGTTTGTTTCTTATCATAGAAAGAAAATAATATTAATTGAAACCTATGTTATTATAAAATGACAAATATAATGAATATTTAGAAAATTAATTATAAATCACTTGATATAAAGTGTAAAATATCATTTTTAAATATTTTAATATTTTAAAGATAAAAACTTAAATTTTAATATATTTTGAGTATATTTTATATTAATTATTTTTTAAAAAAGCCAATTCAAGAGCCAGAGTCAAGTCAAGGCTGGCTTCAACTTGGCTTTTTAGCTCATCGAGCTCAGTTCACAAGCCACTTATTGAGCCGAGTCTGAGCCGGGTCACGAGTCTGCTTGACTCAGTTACACCTGTCCATGGTATGAAGAACAAATATTTCGAGTTATAGTTTTATGGGGTTTCATTCCCTTATGGATGCTTGAGGATTCGCATAATCTTCTTCATACTATGAGGATTCAACATGTTGCCTTGAGGAATCGACTACCCTAAGCCATGAGTTCACAATAGCATGAGAACTCGTTGTGCGGTATCAGTTTACTATGTTTTCTACATTTTTTTTTTCTTTCACAATTTCACTATCTCCTGTGTAACAAATGGATGTGAATGCATGCACGTGATGACAAGTACAAACGTGATTTAGTCTTGTTACAATTTCGTCCAATATGTATTCAACTCACCCTTTCAGGTTTCAATAAACCCTCTTATAGAATTTGATATATAATCCAAAAAAAACATAGTTCTATTTTCTCTCCACATGTTGTTTCTCATTTCTAATCTCTGCCAACAAAGAAGAAGAAATATCCATAAGATTTTATGGGTATTTTGTACCTTCTAGGTTCAAAACTCAATCTAGCTATTGAAAAACTCAAAACCAAAACAACTTGAACATGTTCGTTACAAAATTATCTTATGGTTTTTTTTTTTTTTTTTTGACAAATTTCATCAAGTTCCACGTTCCAATTTGCTTCATCTTAACATAATATCCATAGAGTTTGCTATCCGTTAAGTTTAGCAACATATTTTTAGTGCTATTAATTTTCCACCGTTCTTTATAAGTTGTCTTCTCAAATAAATACCATTCACATCCTAAAAAAATTATTTGCTTCCTTGAAAGTTCTCTTCTTTCAAGGTCTTCTCACAATGATAGATAAAAGTTCGTTCAATTGGCATTGGTCCAACCCTTAAAAATTAAGTATGATGTATTCGCATCCCAGTAACCATAAAAAACATCAAATTGTGGACATATTGTAAACAGCTCCCAATGCACGATAAAGACAGCCGTTTAAAAGTTCAAAAACTAAATATATTAATTGTGCCCATTATTCAAGAATGTCTGAAAATTATAATTTGCTTAACATCTTACGCATACAACATGAGTAACGATCTTAAATATATTTGAAAAAAATGCAATTTGCATGTCAATCTAAACTTATTTTAATTACTTTGAATATTTTTATTTGTCTATTGTTGAACACTTAATTAAACATTGTGAAAAAGAAACAAAATAAACAGAATTAAACCCCAAAATTTTCCCTTTTTTTTTTCAAGAAAAGTCTAGTCCATTGATCATCATTGTGAATAATTCCAAGCTAGAAACACCACTCAACAATCACAAAATAAACACGATAAATTTCTATCTACATGTTCACAAGCTTACATATAGACGTCATGCAACTCCTATTTTTAAATTGATTTCTAGAATCTAATACATTCACAAAGTCCTTATCAAGATACAAAAATAAGCCTTCCCGGCTTGAAATTAATAGCATGCTAATATTAACTCTACTACCATAGTTATAACAAAAGTTAGTCTTTCACACTTTAAAAGTGATCCACAACAACAACAACAGAACTTTGTCCCGATAAGTGGGTTTGGCTACATGAATCTTTTTTCTCCATTGTGTTCTATTGAGTGTCATATTTTCATTTAATTCCACCTTGAGGTTAAAAAAACATGCCTTCCCAATTTGATGTTAATGACATGCTAATATTAACTCCACTAACATAGTCGCAGCAAATGTACTATTTCACACTTTCAATCAACCAAACAAGTTTAGTGTTATTATTTAGAGGGTGCATCATAGCTCAAGCATCTAAGATGTTGTTGATAGTAAAGTTATCATGAATGAGCTTAATTTAGCATGGGATTCTAAAAAATAAATTTGTTCTTCAAAAGGAATATAAAGATTCTTGACATCGTTTCAAATGAATTATCTTTCTAAGTAAAAAACTTGATTTATGAAATTTCCACCTTGCACCTCGTAATGTGTCTTGTGTGAATGCAAATGAAACACCCTATTCAAAGAATAAATACAGCCGTCAACAATAAACTAAAGTTAACTCTCTTGGTCCAATTCCACCATCAATGGGATTAGGATAAGATATTATAGTAAGGGATAGAAATAATTCTTATTTATTAATAAATGTAAGCAATTTGTATCAAAACCACTTGTTCTTTACTGCATGGACAACTAGCCCTAAAAATATATTTTTAGGGGCATTTACACACATAGAACACAATTCTTATGTCATTACATATCACAAGACTAAAATTTTATATTTACACGCATAGCACTCAAATCTTTAATATCACATCAAAAATAACACTATTACAATATCACCATTTTTTTTAAATTGAAATATACATTTTAATACGTAGATTTAAAGCATCAAAGTGGTATGAATGTAAGTATGAAAGTTTGTGTGAGATATTTAGGGCCCGTTTGGGCAGCTTATGTGGCGTGGTGAGTTCTGAAAATGTCGGATGAAGCGTTTGGAAATAGCAGTGCGCTCGCGGCCCGCACTTCTTCGCGAACTTATTACTCCGCCCTCTTGCGCTCCCCTTCCACCGGTGCCCTCTCTCTCGCGTTTCTTCAGCCCTAGTCACGCCTCTCTCGTGCCTCTCTCCGGTGGAAACAGGTTGCATTTCTCCTTTCCCTCTTTCCTTAGATATTTGGTGGCAACGGGCTGCCTCTCTACTCTCTTTCTTCCCTCCGATCTCCGGCTCTCTCTCTTTGTTTACTGTGATCTCCGTCCTCTCACGGTATCACCTATTTTATTTTCAATGGAAATGACTTTCTTTTTGTGATTTGTGATTTTCTCATTTGCAGCTTGAAGTGAGAATTTGGATTTTGCTATTTCTAGCCTAATTTGAGGTTTGAAGTGAGATTTGTGGCTTTCTGTTTATGATTTGGAATTTGGATTTTATGAATTTGTGGTTGAATGTGATATGGAATGGTGTTTTATTTATACATTTAATATTTAAGTGAGAATTTGAGAGGTGGTTGAAAGAGGGTGCTTGATTTGTTGATAGCAATGCTTCATGGGTGCCCGTATGTAGTGGCCTCAAATGAAAAATATGAGGTGGGGTTTTATCTTTTCCTTTAATGTTTGAATGAGAATTTGAGAAATAGCTGAAAGAGGGTGGTTGATTTGTTGATAGCAATGGTTTGGATGCCCTGTATGTAGTAGCCTCAAATGAAAAAGAATGGGAGTTTTAACTTTACCTTTGATGTTGAGTGAGGATTTGAGAAATGGCTGAAAGATGGTGCTTGATTTGTTGATAGCAATGTTTCGAGTGCCCGGTATGTAGTAGCCTCAAATGAAAAAAATGGGGTGGGGTTTTATCTTTACCTTTGATGTTTGAAAGCGAATTTAAAAAATGACTGAGAGAGAGTGCTTGATTTCTTGATAGCAATGTTTCGAGTGCTCTGTATTAAACTGCATCAAATGAAAAATATGGGGTGCGGTTTTATCTTTACCTTTGAAGTTGGAGTGAGAATTTGAGAAATGGTTGAAAGATGGTGTTTGATTTGTTGATAGCAATGTTTTGGGTGTCCTGCATGTAGTAGTCTTAAATGAAAAATATGTGGTAGGCAATTATCTTTACCTTTGTTGTTTGAGTGAGAATTTGAGAAATGGCTGAAAGAGGGTGTTTGATTTGTTGATAGCAATGTTTCAGGTGACATGTATGTAGCTACATCAAATGAAAATTATGGGGTGTGATTTTATCTTTAACTTTGATGTTTGGTGGTGGTGTACGTCGGTTTGTGTGTGGAGATGGTGGTGTTGTGGAGGAGGTGGTTGTTGTGTGGTTGTGTGTGTATTAGAAGATGTGTTGGTGGATGTGTGGAGGTTATGGTTGGTGTGTGGTTGTGTTTGTGTTAGGGATGTGTTGGTGGATATATCGAAGTGGTGGTGTTGCGAAGGTGGTGGTTGGTGTATGGTTGTGTTTGTGTTAGAGGATGTGATAGTGGATATGTAGAGGTGATGGTGTTGTGAAGGTGGTGTTTGGTGTGTGATTGTGTTTGTGTGGAGGTGTTGGTGTGTGGTGTTGTGGATGTGTTCATGTCTTGAGGTGTTGGTATGCGGAGGTGTTTGTGTGTGGACGTGGTGACAGTGGCGATGTGTAGGTGATGTCGTAGTGTAGTGTGGAGGGGCATTGATGATGATATTGTGACATTCCTACTTTTCTTTTGAGCTGCGATATTTTGGCATTCATGATATGTTAATTAGTTTTTTTTCATGCTAGTAATATAATGGTTAAGACAAAAGAGGAGGTTCATCTGCAATGTGAGATAAAAAGACAAACTTAATATTTTGCAACATTTGCCTAAGAGAGATCGAACTGAGATATAGGCAAACAACCTATTTCAATAAGGAAGACTGGTCAAATATTATTAGAAAATTCAAGAAAAGTACAGACAGAGAGTATGATAGGATGCAGTTAAAAAATAAGAGGGATCAACAAAGGAATGATCGAAAAATATGGAAGGAATTGAAGTGATGATCAACAGGCTTGGAATGGAATACGGTAAAGCGAACAATTGATGCTTCCGAGAAGTGAGGATAGAGAGACTGGCGTTTACATTTTTAAAATTTCTTTTATTTTTTACAATTTTTAATTTCTTTTCTAATCCACATGTTATATGAATTTGTAGATGGTGTATGCTACAAAAAAATTTAAATGCAGTGAATTTGATCCTGAGTTAGAGGAGAAGTTGGATCGTGTGTTTGGAGGTATCGTGACAACGGGCAAAAATGCATATGCCCCAGTGAGGTGGAGTTTGGTGGCATCTCCAGAAATTTGGAAGCTGATCAAACCGGTGATTCCAATGAAGGCCCTAGCCCGGACCTCCATGAAGTTGAGTCCACGAGCCGGTCAAAGCGTCCCCGGGTTGAAAAAAAAGAGGGAATTGCTTTCCTTAGAAGTCTGATCTCACAGTTGATGGCACCATGCACCAATGACCCCCGCACATCACAAGCAACTTCTGTCCAGCATGTTATACGAATTATGGATGCAACTCCAGCAATTTACGAGGACGTGTTATTTTCTATAAAGTTTCTTAAAGATTCAACCCAGAGAGAGTTTTTCATAATGATGCTCGTTGACGGTAGGGTGGCTTACCTACATTATTTTAATGAAAGCACTGATATTTGAGGGATATTATTTTATTAGATTTTTGTGGGACATTTCATATTTGTTATTTGTTTATTTACTTTTAACATTTCTGTTTGTTTATGACTTTTCTTGTTGCTTTGGACATGTCATTTTACCTGAGAATTATTCATTCACTGTTATGTTTTCTATTTACTTATGTATTATTATTTGTTTATGTTGATTTTGTTCGTAATTTTATATGATTGTAGTTAATTCATTGATGCTTATGTATTAACTACTTCAATACCGAAATACATGGATGCAGTTGTACAAAAAAACATAAGAGTTGCAGCTGCAGTATGTTTAATGTACGATTATTATAACTCGTATATAGAGCGCTCTCATCGCATGACATCCTCATATGTTAATGACAAATACAATTGGGAAATTGTTTGTGGGTCACCCAACGAGATTTAGCAATATATTTTGCATGACACAGATGATATTCACAGATCTGTTGGAGGAATTACACATAAATCATGGATCTCATCACTCATCCAAAACGACATCATAAGAGGTGTTAGCAATAACCCTCTACATATTATCGTAGAATTAATCAATGTGAGGAGCTATAAAGCAATTACAACACTCCTCTGTAACGATTTGCAGATACTCCTTAATAGGGTTGAATGCACTTGTCATTTTTTTTTCACAAGTAATTAGTCAACATATCCTACATTTGAACGAACCCCACAGAAATTTCGCACGATGTGCGGTATATGTCATATTTCTTTAAAGTAATTTCTCCAATTTATTATATTCAATTTTTATACAAATATCGTAATTATGTAACCCTTTGTTATCTTTCTATAATTATATTAATCAATCGATGAAACACAAGTTGATGCACATATTCTAAATAATGAGAAGATCACACTCATCGGTCGTTGTTTATTCCCGACGCAGAATGTCATAGCGGTATGCGACTTCAACATGCGTTTCACTTTTGTTATGACCAGTTAGGAGGGCAGTGCACAAGACAGTCGAATATTCAAATCTACAACAAAAAATAACAAATACAACTTCTCACATTCACCCACAGGTTCGCTTGAGACAAAGCTACTCTCCTAATTTTTTTTCCTTCAACACTATTCATTCAATTCACATCAGAAAAATATTATTTGGTCGATGTTGAGTATTTATTGTTGTGAGAATATCTCAAGTCATATCCTGATACGAGATACCATATATCAAATTTTGAGCAAGCCAGCAATGTCGCGCGGGGCTGGAAAAAAAATACTCAACAAAAACATTCATCCTTACGCGGTATTATTAAGAGAACTTTTGATATTTGAAAGAAGAAATATGTTATACTTCGTTATAGGTTATCTTACATGTTTCCAAAACATGTGCAAATTGTGATTGTCATGATGATTCTCCACAATTATATTTGGCGACGTCCTTCCCGCAACGACATCGACTTTCGTAAGATGGGCGAGGAACATGAACATGTCCTTGCCGAGACATATGAGTATCGTTTTTTACAATCTTTGTCACAAGCCCAAAATAATTACCGAAACCTGCACTAAAGACTGAAAATGTGTAAGCGAGATGACAGAGTTGAGAAAATAAATTACAGATGTTATAGTTTGAGGGTGATTTGAGGGAATGTTAATTTTTATCATATTATTAATTGTAATGGTTATTGAAGAAATTCACTATTAATTGTATCAATATTTTATACAGTTCAAGTTTATTCATGTTTTTCATGCATTTGATATTTACTGTTTTGTTTTTTTACACAATTTGTATGTGTTTTTTTTTCCTTTAGCATTTTTTTTTATGGATTTTGGAGGTTTGTGATGAAACATTTAACATTATCGTTTATTCTGGATGGTCTGTATGTCATTATTGGTTGGTGTCACATGTGAAATCCTAATGAAGACAACCAATTTTCTCTATTTTTTTCAATGTTACGGTTTTTTAGGTTCTTATGTATTGTCTTCTTTGATGATATGCATATAAGCTTGGTATTATGTGGTTTAATAGCAACCAAGAACCATTGTTTTATAAGATTTATTGTTTTTTTATAGTGACAAATTTGTTGGTTTATAAAATGAGTTCTCTGTGATCTCACTATTGCATAAAATTATCATTAATTATTTTTATTATCAATTTTTATTTATCTTATGTCTGAGGGTAAGTTTTTTTAAGCATTTAGGAAAGATAAGCTCAATGATTTCTAGCACATTTAAAAGACTGCACTGCTACTGTGGACTTCAAAGTTCTATGCTAACTTCCCAGCTATATAGCTAAGAAGGATAATTTTACAGGAGTCCACGGGGAATCATGAAAAACTAACTATTCTCGGTCGATGGTTCTACTGGAAAATTCTACCGCTAAGAGTGATTGGGCATGGAGAGTATCCCTAGAAAGCGGCTTAGCTCGTGACATACGTCATTTGTATTTTAAAAATAATATTATCATATTATTAATTATTGCTTTAATGATCTTTTTCTTAATTTTAGTAGTCATATTAATCACTGTTAAGTGAAGTGTTTATTTTTATTTTGTAATATTCTGCACTAGATATTTGTTTTAAGTATATAATATATTAGTACGAATTGTTCTGTTGCAAACTATACGGAAGCAGAATGGTCATTTGTCCAAAACAGAAGCAGTACAGTTCTTTCAAGCCGCAAAAAAATAAGCAGACAGTCAGTTTATCCACATCAACTTCTGTGCAACAGCTTATTATTAAGCTGCAATTGCCCCAAACAGACCCTTAAATACATAAAAATCATGTGTTGTGGATGTAAATTTCACTATTTTAATAAACATTAATTACAAACAAACAATGATAGCCTGATTGTTAAACATTTGATTGTAATCATTTATTTAACTAGTGGTTGATTCCAATTCATTGCCATCATTACTCAATAGTTAATAACTAATTCAAAATATTTTTACCAATTATCCTACATTTAATTAGTGGCCAAATAGCAACAGACTTAACATACTATAGTGGAATAGATATAATTATAATCCAAGTTAATAAACCCATAGTTCAAATGAATTTGGCTTGAACAATGGCCTAATTAATGAATAGCCGAATCAAAACCAACTCTGTTCACAATAGTCTCTTAGATATTCACATGGAATAAGGCAATTTGCAAGATATTAAAAATCCATTTATAAGATAAATTCCCCGCAATAAACTAATGATCAGTATTAACAATCATACCAAGAATGATGGATATTCTTCTGTTGAAGAAGAAGATTCGATCTTTGAACTCCCAAGATAACCTCCAAATCCAACGCTCGAAGCTCCCAGAGGCACCAACGACGCGGAGAGGCTGAAAAACCAAACGAAACCAGAGAACAGAAGTTCAAAAATGCTCTAAAAAGAGAAACTGAAACGGAGAAATCAGCTAAATATAAAAGCATTGGAATAGATTGAATTGATGTCGAGGAGGAAACGACCTGCTGCTCGAAGGGCGATTCTTGCTTCTTAAACCTTCTCCTTTCTGCTTACCCATTAGAAAGCCTATCTGCCTCTAAGGACTGTAAAAGGGGAGACTGAAACCGAGAAATAGGAGCGGCTATGTGTCGAAGGAAGGCGATTGTGCGGAAGAAGAGGAGAAATGATGGCGGCGGAGGGCTGTCACGGGTAACGCAGGAATTTTTATTCGCTACGTACCGAAGGCTTGCGATTTGCGAATGGTAGCCACCGCCGCCTCGAATCCGGCCCTGCTATTATTTATCTTAAAAACTCTATTTTTTTTTTAAGCAGATCCTTTTCCAATTTTTCTACTTTACTTTCATGGTTTGGAGCTGCTGAAATGAATTGCTCTGCAGACGAAGAGAACGACAACCACTTTTAGATCTGTGTGAGTTTAGCTTCGTTCAGAATATTTTCAACGAAAACAACGAGAAGGACATCCAGACCCAAGTGAGTTTAACTTCGTGGAGAATGTTTTTTTTTATCTTAAAGACATTGTTGCGGTTTGAGTTTCGGGATTTGTGCGAGTTTTATTTTTTGAATTTATGGATACTTCTGACATTTGTCTGGGTTTATCGGAGGTTTAATTAGTTGATTTAATAGAATTACTTTAGTTTTTTTATCTGAGGTATAATTTTGGCATATCATTGCTTGTGTTTAACAATTTGTTTCTCTGAGTTTATCGGAGTTTTACTTTAGTGATTTTCATTTTATTCGAAGTCGTTGTCGTTGTAACTGTTTATGTTACGCTTGCATTTATGCCGAGGTAATGGTTTATAGTGTTACCGCGGTATTATCTTGGCAGTATTCTCGTGTTATTTTTGTTAATAAGGGATGTTAGTGTTATTGTGGGGTTATTGTGGTATTATTATGATTTTATTGTTGTGCTATTGTACTGTCAAAGAGAGTTTTTTTATTGCGGCTTTATGGTTTTATTGTTGTGTGATTATGGTGTTATTGTCTTTGTTGTTTGTGTTATTATGGGGTAATGGCTTATTGTGTTACCGCGGTATTATCTTGACAGTATTCTCGTATTATTTTTGTTAATGAGGGATGTTGGTGTTATTGTGGGGTTATTGTGGTATTCTTATGATTTTATTGTTGTGTTATTGTACTGTTGAAGAGAATTTTTTTTGCTACGGCTTTATGGTTTTATTGTGTGATTATGGTGTTATTGTTTTTGTTGTTTTAATAGACGCACTTGTTTTACTATTGTCTTTTTTTTGTATTTCTATAATTTAAATTATTGAATGCAAAAAAGAAGGAAGATGGGCGAACAAGCCAAGTACTATTTTTTGAACCATTTGACACAAATTTGTGAGCAATGAGATAAAGTTATTTATTGACTCATTGAGAGCTTGGTCAGCATCATGAAGAAGCAGAAA